CTCGAATGAAAGAGCTCGGGAGTGAGCATTCACATACTCGTCGACTCCCTCATTTCTTCCTCCTCTGACCATGCCTGGAAGGATCTTCAGCTGGGAACTTTATAAAGAGAGCAGAAATAATACGCTGAGAATAACTGATCTCACCCGCGGGGATGGGAACCGGCCCTGCTAAATCAGTGAAGGAGCAATTTCCAGGCTGTGGGCGATTGGAAACAAGCCGAGTGGACAAACAAGCAGACAAAACAAACCGTGGAGACTCGCACTGGAGTTCCAAGGTCAATTTCCAGCCTCAGGCAGGTGTGGCTGAGGGAGTTACCTCATCCCATTCTGGTTTAGAATATCTTTTTTTTTCCCCCATTTTCCGGGAATGAAGCTTCCTCCCTCAGGGGATCATCCCACCCATCCCCTACAAATCCACCCTTAAATTTGCCTCTATCCGCTTCCCATCTTGAGTCTTCAACCTCTTCCTCCTTACTCACCATGTTTCCATCAATGTGGTCAAGATTCTCGGGTCTTAAGTTCAACCCTCCCCCCACTTGATTCTGTACCTTCTAGAGAGCTCCTTCCTCGCCTCTCTCCCTTCCTGCACACCCAAGATTCCCGTTAACAGTGTCCTCACCCATGGCCTCCACGTCTCGGCCTTTCACCACTCCCCAAGGCCCTAAAGCTTGGAAACCGCTCTTACCCACGTTACCTGCGAAAACCAATAAATACACCTCTGCCCTTTCTCCTGACCTCAGCAGCTTTGCCACCATCGTCCAAACCTTCCGAAAGTTCTTCCCTTCTGAGATTCAACGATGCTATTCTCATAGAGGCTTCCTCCCACCCTTGAGACTCAACCATCCAGGTCCCGATCGTTGACTGCTGAACCCCTCAGGGTTCTTCCTCCCACTGTGAGTGAGCTCTTCCTTCTTCAAACACCACTCCTACTTGAACTCATTCAGATTCGTGTCTTTCAATACCATCCACACGCCTGTACCTCCAGGCATGTCTCTCCCACCCAGAGCCTTCTGTTCCCCTAAGCACCAGACCTGTATGTGGAAGTGCCAGCTGGAGAGCCTCACCTGGAAGTGCCAAAGGCAGTTCAAATTCAGCCTGTTTAAAATTCAACGTGGGGCGCCTGGGTGGCGCAGTCGGTTGAGCGTCCGACTTCAGCCAGGTCACGATCTCGCGGTCCGTGAGTTCGAGCCCCGCGTCGGGCTCTGGGCTGATGGCTCAGAGCCTGGAGCCTGTTTCCGGTTCTGTGTCTCCCTCTCTCTCCGCCCCTCCCCCGTTCATACTCTGTCTCTCTCTGTCCCAAAAATAAATTAAATAAATAAATAAATAAATAAATAAAATAAAATAAAATTCAACGTGTCATCTTCCTCCAAACCCTGGACCACTCCTGCCTCTGTGTTCTCCACCCCAGTGATGGCACCTCCATTTTTTAGGCACCATTTTTTAGAAACCTGGGAATCACCGTCCGCTCCTTCCTTGCCGTGGTCATGCGATCTGTCAATTCTACTTCCTTAAAAAATCTCGAATTCCATCCAATTCTCCCCATCTGTGTATCTGCTGCCTCGATTCAGGCTGCCATCACCGCTTGCCCGGATTAACACGGCCTTTCAGCTGCTCTCACCGCCGGTTTTGTATTTTCTTCTTTACAACCAACGTGATCTTTTCTAAAAGACAAAACAGACCAGGAAAAGAACCCTTTCGCACTCCTGCTGCCAATTAACATAAAACCTTTCCCAGACTCTCCTGAAGACCCCAGGGCAAGTCTACATTCTCAGTCTCACTTTCCTTTTTCTGGGCCTTTGCTTCTGCTGGCCCCTCTGCCCAGGGTACCTTTTTCTCTCTCTTTTTACACTAAGCAAGCTTCCACACGTTTTCTTAAACCTAGCTCAGGGGGCACCTGGGTCGCTCAGTCGGTTACGCGTCCAACTCTTGGTTTCAGTTCAGGTCATGATCTTGCGGTTGTGTGAGTTCGAGCCCCACATCGGGCTCTGCACTGATGGTGTGGGGTCTGCTTGGTATTTTCTCTCTCTCCCTCTCTCTCTGTTCCTGGCCACTTGTGCTCTCTCTGTCTCTCAAAATAAATAAACAAACAAACAAAAATTAAACCTAGCTCAGATATCGCCTCTGCAGAGAAGGCTTCCATGATTCCCAACCCCGAGTGAAAGGCTGCCTGTATGTTCTCCTGATGTAAACCCATGTGGCCCTTCCCCCCGTGGGGTAGCACAACCAATGAGCAACTGGAAGGTTTTAGCCCCGGTGTCCCTAGCCTACCGGCTAGTACGTGGGAGGCGTTCAATAATTACTTTGTGCATGAGCAGATGACAGATGGGTGCAAAGCAGGAGAGAATAGCTGGGGGAAGGAAATCATCTATACGTCTTCATTTCACTCCACATCGTATATCCATCATGCCCTCTGGTGCCTGATAGGCTCATTGTCAGTTTCAAGGGTCAATTAGCAAACGTCCTGAACAGCAAACGGGTGAAACACCCAGTGCCGGGCACTCCACAGTCTTACAGACTGGGCGAGCAGTGTGTTACCTGTACCAAAGGACCACCCTACTCTCGGTCCTGCATGAAGCAAACAGCCAGGGAAAGTAGCAAAAGAATAAATGAACCAAACCTCCCCGGGCGCCTGGGTGGCTCAGTCAGTTAAGCCCCCGACTCTTGATTTCAGCTCAGGGCGTGATCTCACAAATCCCAAGATCGAGCCCCAGGCGGGGTTCCACGCACTGACAGAGTGGAGCCTGCTGGGGATTCTCTTTCTCTTTCTCTGCCCCTCCCCTCCTCTGCACGTGCACACACACCCTTTGTCTGTCAAAATAAATCAACGTGTTTTTAAAAATTAAAAAATAAATAAATAAACTAAAATTCTTCCAGGGCTAGCTGGACAAATTCTTCTAGCTTCTCTGGCCTCCATGTTCTCACCTATAAGAACAGGGGCCACAATGCCTCCTTCTCGGGGTTTTGAGGAGAACGGAAGAAGAAAGTGTGCATTCCAGGCACGTACTAGCTTCCTTACGGGGTAGACTCTCAACAGAAGCCACGTCCTTTGCTTTCCACCTGCTTGCTCCTCCATAAATCTGCAACTCCCCGTGACCTATGAAAGCAAACGGAGAGGAGTGGAAAGCAGCTCCTTTCAGGCTGTGGGGCTGGCACATCTTGAAAGCCCTTGATTTTAAAAAGCTGGTGACCCCCAGGGAGTGCCCATGGTACCCCGTAAAGTGCTCCTGGAGCCCATCTCCCCCGTGGCAGTGAGTTGGGTCTGTGTGTAGCTGAGGCATTCACTGCCGTCCTTGGTCTCACAGGATTACGAAGCCCAGGTTGCTTTCTTACAGCATCTGGAGACGACTGAGACATTCTTTTCTTCCAAAGCCTCTCCTCGCTGCTCACAAGTACAGGACGCAACCTCCTCCCCAGCATGACATGTGAGGTCCTGAGGCATAGGCCCCGTTTTCCTCCGCACCCGTCTGTACTCTGCTCCAAATACACGGAGCCTTCCTGGGAGCCGAACACCTTGCTCCCCAGCCCCTCGGGGCCATCTTCCTGCCGGTCCCTCCGCCTGGAACCCTCTGTCCCCAGTTCCGGCACCTGGCGAAGCCATCTCCACTTTCTCAGAACCAGTTCAGGCATCCACTCCTTTCAACGGCTTCCCCACGTCTGGGCCACCTGCCCCTCCTCGGTGCTCCTGCAGCCCTCAGCCCCCCTTGATTGCCATTTCCTGACTTCCTGCTGGCGCCTCTGTGGGACTCTGAGCTAAAAGACAGCAGAACCAGGCCCTCTCCAATGCCGAGCCCCCCTCCCTGCCCTCCCACAGGGCCGTAACTCAGCAGGTACTCAGCCAAGGGGCCACACTGCGTGACTGGGCTCCAGGGAGTCACTCTCTGAGGTCCCCCTAATTGCTGGTAGAGACACGTTTGCCCAAATTGCATCTGAAGACTGTCACCGCAGTGGCCATTGGCTCATCCCTGTCTACCCGGACCATCCTTTTGGTTAACCTGTGCCCCGCTTTGAAGCCTTGCGTGCTGAGAAAGGCAGAGTCAAAGCCAAAGGGTGTGGCTGGAGGTAGCAGAGCCAGCGCAAAAGCCCAAATTGAAGGCAAGTTAGAAAAAATGCGTAGCCGTAAACATTAGGCTGCGCGCTAGATATTTTCTACTAAGCATTTTATCCGGTACTTACCCTGAGCCAGGAACACTTCCGAGTGCCTTAACACGCTTATTCTTGTAATCTGCACAACGACGAGGTGAGGCCGGTCTAATGGGTAACGTTACCCCCATTTCACATAGGGAGAAAACTGAGCCACTGGGATGTCAAGCAACCTGCCCGAGGTCACATGCCCAGGAATGGGTGAAAAAGAGATGCTTTCAAAAGCAGACAGAAGCGAGAGGAGGAGGATGAACGGTGTGAGGAACAGGGCAGGCGGCTTGGTCATTCACCGAGTCATGCACTCGTTCCGTGAAAAATGTTAGGGGTCCCTGCCTAGCTCCGTGTCATGCTCTGGAATTATAGTGGTGAACAAACAGGTTGTTCGAACAAACAGGGACCCCTGGCCTGATGGTGCTCATGGCAGAGGAATTAGGCAAATAACCACACAAATAAATAAATGAGTATACATTATAGGAAGTGCTAGCAGCAAAAAGTACACAGCACCGTGAGACTGAATAGAAGGGGTTATCTAATAAATATCGTGGTCGGGAATATGATGTTCCTGCTGAGACCAAAAAAAAAAAAAAAAAAGTGGGTTAACCCAATGAAGGATGGAAGAGAGAAAGCGCAGGGCACCTGGGTGGATGGGTTGGTTAAGCGTCCAACTCTTGATTTCAGCTCAGGTCGTGATCTCACAGTTCATGAGTTCGAGCCCAGAGTCAGGTATGTACTGACAGCAGGGAAACTACTTGGGATTCTGTCGCCGCCTCTCCCCTGCTCTCTCTCTCAAAATAGATAAATATATTTACAAAGAAGAAGAAGAAGAAGAAGAAGAAGAAGAAGAAGAAGAAGAAGAGGAGGAGGAGGGGAGAAAGCTCTAGGCAGAGAGAGCAGCATGTACAAAGGTCCTGGGGCAGAAGGGTGTTGGGTGTTCAAGGGGCTAGAGGAAAGGCACTCTGGCAGACAGACAAGAAATGAGGCTGGCACGGGCTAGGTCACACAGGACTTTGGAACAGAGCATGTAGGAAGGGGAATAACGGGAGGCCGGAAAGAGAAGTCAGAAGCTGGTCGTGAATGGCACGCTTAAAAACTGGTGCCTCATCTTTGATGTCCAAGATGCCTGGGCATCATGGAAGCCAAGACAAGGTCTTGGGCATGTCACTTCAGAGATTAAAAATAAAAATAACCAAAAGGGTATGTGTTTGGTAGGGTGGGTGCGAGGAGATTTTAAATGTCCCGAAGGAGTGCAAAATGGCCAGCCAAATGATCCCCAGCCTGGAAAGCGTTCGCCCCTTGCTGCCCTTGATATCTTCATCAACTCGGGTGCTTTGCAAAATAATAAGCTATCATTTATCAGCGTTCTGCAAGGTAGCATTACAACTGAGTCAGGGCAATAAATCAGGCACATATAATTTGAGCCCCGAAGTACAGTAATTCTTCTTTTAATGCCACATCTGGTATAGATAATACGATTTGCAGGGGAGAGGGGGCGATGAACACTATGCAGGGCCCTCATTATTGGGCAAGCGTTGCTTGCAGCCTGATCTCCCGCCCATCCTTCCAGCAACACGGAGGACTTAAAAAGCAGCTTTATTATTATTCCCTTGGCTGGCCAAAAGGGAAACCGAGTTAATTATAGACTTGTTTGCCGGTTATTAATTAAACCCCAGCTAAACATAAAAACGCAGGGGAAGTGCCATTTCCCGCTCCGTGCTTCCAGCCTCTTGGAGCTCAGCTGACGTTCCTGCCGCCGTGGTCCACTCTGTGTCCTGTTTCCTCTGCAGATTTTCTCAGGAGGGTCCCAGGGCCTTTGCCCTGTGTGCAAACAAAACCTTATTTTTAGCTGGGAAGGAACACAAAATTGGAAGCTCCGAAAGGGCAGGGGGACAATAGGAGGAAGCTTGCAGACACTGACGGCTTGTGACACCCAGGGCTCCGGGGACGGCCACACCCTCCCAGGTTCTCCAGCCTCCCTAGTCCTCAGATGGATGGCCCAGCCTGACCTGCACCATCTACATGGTGATGGCTCTGCACAGTGACTAGGAGGACAAGTTTGTGGCACATGGCCAGAACTCCAAGCTTGCCCCCACTTACTAACTCCATGGCAACGGGCGCGTTTCGGTGGCCCCTCTCAAAAGGAGACATGAGCAGCACCCCCTCCTACACGTGCTATGAATCTCACACAAGACAAGGCTTGTCAAGCACTCAGCAGGTGCCCAGAGCATGGTTGCTTCTAAAGATTAGCTTCCTTTCCCTCACTCTTCCAGGATGATGGGCTTTGGTGTCTGTGGCTCCCACAGAAATATCAAGTGCTAGACGATGCATGCGTGACCTTCTCATATTTCAAAATCTTTCTAAGCTTCTATTTTCTCATCTCTAAAATGGGAGCAAGTCTAGTGCCCACCAGAGAGGATCACCAGGAGGGTCAAATTCGATATCGGGAGCAACCTAGTGCCTGCCTCTGATCAGATGTCCAGTATGTTAGTGACCAAAGTATCTGAAAACCATCCTCCGAATAATTAAAGAGAAGAACACCAAGTCCATATCTGTGACATAAAAAAGAAGAGAGAGACTGATCAAAGGGAATCACACCAAACTAGCCTCATTTCTTACTGGAGTTGACAAACTACATGACCAGATCAAGAACATTCCATGGATGTCGTACAAACACATCATCAGAGAGTTTGCCAGATTCCTTGGCAAAATCTAGCTGGACCATCAACCTAGCCTCCTCAAAATCTTCCAGTGGGCATGTTCTCTGCTTGGCGGCCATCACTGTCTGATTAGCCTTGCCCACACTGTTTCTTAGATGGGAAAAGCCAAGGACAGAGCCCTCTGACCACCAGTAATCTTCAAAACAAGATTTCACAACGTGGCTAGTCACGTGGACGAAAACAGAAAGCATTCCAGTAAAATCTGCAGATGAAACGAAGCTTGAGGGAATTATTCACGTGACTTCCAGACTCTGAGCACGGTGCTCTCCACACCCCCCGGCACTGCCCAGCCAAGCTAGAGACTGTCGAGTCTGCATCCAAACCTGCCCACCCCACCCACTAGAGCAGGCGTGGGCAGCCTGCCCTGGCACCAGCTTTGCAACTTGTGGTCATGGATCGTCACTGGTATCATTCAGTTCCGTTCACACTGTTTATTTCCCTCATCTCTTATTGTTTTAAGTGGATCGTTTCTACTCTCCACCCATCTTCTAGCAGCAATCCTGAGCCTCAGATTCACGTCTTCTACTCCTGAGGAAATCCCTGTGATGCGGAAGCCGGAGATACAATGGCGCACAAGGCCTACGAGAGCTCTATGGGAGAAACCATTGGTAAACACATAATCGCACGAATAATTATCGAATAGCCATTTTACTAAGCACCGGGTGCTAAACAGAGCTAATGTCTTATTTGATCTCCTAAAACTTTCTCATGATTGTTCTGCCCATTTAAAAGACGAAAGTGAAGCCAGAGGGCTCCTGTGAGAGACGCAATGGAGCTATTGTAGAAGAAAGGATGGGGAGGGTGCGACAGGGGGGCAAACCTTGGAGACTTCTAAAGTGCTGCATACATAAAAAAAGGTGATGACAACTGTCATTCTTGCCCTCTGGGATACCAAGCTTGTGATTCCATCCCAAAAGTTTTTAAATACCTGACACCAGGGTTTCCATATTTCTTTCTTTCTTCTAGCCTTCTGTGTGATGAGGCAAGATGAGGGTCCTGAGAGAGGGTATCTCAATGTAGACATCTACCCCACATTCTGTCACCTACCAAATGAGATTCTTCAATATCCACGGTACCAGTGTGAAAACTTTCCTCCGCCTCTCAAACTGTTCACCTCGTCTGCAGGAAAGGGCTGATAATAGCATCTACCCCCACAGGATTCTGGTCAGCAATAAATGAAATATCATATATACAGCCTGACACATCCTGAGTGCTTAGTGGATAGCAAGAATTCCCCTTCCCTCGCCTTCCCTTCTCTTCCCTCCCCTTCCCTCCCCTTCCCTCCCCTTCTCTCTGGAAAGGTCTTCATTGCACAAGAAGATGAATCAGCATTCTAGGAGCCTGGAGGAAGGCTGCTCTCAGAGGCGTGCCCTCCCCTGTCAATATGTGGCTCTGGTCTTAGCTCCAGGGACTCAAATTTTAAAAAGAAATGCAGGGCGCCTGGGTGGCGCAGTCGGTTAAGCGTCCGACTTCAGCCAGGTCACGATCTCGCGGCCTGTGAGTTCGAGCCCCGCGTCGGGCTCTGGGCTGATGGCTCAGAGCCTGGAGCCTGTTTCCGATTCTGTGTCTCCCTCTCTCTCTGCCCCTCCCCCATTCATGCTCTGTCTCTCTCTCTGTCCCAAAACTAAATAAACGTTGGAAAAAAAAAAATAAAAAATAAATAAAAAAGAAATGCAACTAGCATACCCCTCGCTACTGATTTCCCACTTGCTATTCATGCCTTACCAGTTGCATGAAGGGCAGAGTGCTTCTCAAGGAAAGGAATCAGGTGGGGGGGGGGCAGGGAATAAGGGGAGAGGGTGGTATGGGAAGTTTCCATGGTTCTCTGCACCTCCGAGAGCTTAGAAATAGTTTAGTAAGAAAATACCTTCTCCTCTTTCTCTAAGAGTTGAGCAGTGGCGCATCTGTAATTCTTAAACAGAAAAGCTTGAAGAGGGCATTAAAGATCGAGCTTGACTGTGGCATTTGAATGGCTTAAAGACCTAAACAGGTGACCCTTTGCAGACTAGACATAGCAAGTTGGAATGGTAAGGAAATTGCAGTGTAAGAAGCAAACCCACTCACTGGGAGGTAATGTTTATTATTAACCAGCTGCAATGTATTAGGTGCTGTCACACCATTGGGTCTTCCCTCTTAATATGTACTTGGCCCTCACCATGATACCGAATGGTAGAAATTTTTAGACACACGAGAAACAAGGAGCTTGTACTTGTATTGCATATGAAAGCCCTGGGGCCCAGAGACCATAAGTGGCAGGGCTAGAATTCCTATTTGGATCTGACTCCAAAACCCATTCTTGTCTGGCTTGTGACACAGCCACCAAAGAGCATGAGAAAGGGAGGCTGGAAACAAATAAAATGATTATGGTAGGCAGATTAGCTCAAAACTCACAGCAAGGATGGGGAAATTCATTATTGGGGCAAATAGCTCCTTATTTTTTCTTAAATTAGAACCTTATAAATAAGTGGTCCCCATGTCCTCAAGGAAAGGTTAGCATATGGGCAGGATCCTCCACTGAAATAGTCAGGGAAGCATGTAATTGGTTTTAGAAAGACTTCCATCCAAAATGATTAAATCAAGTTTTGGCACATGAAAGGGGGAGGTTCAGTTATTGGAAAATTTGCTTAGGTGACACAGCTCATTTCCTGATGAAACCGGATTAATGGGACATTACTGAACCTAATTCCTCAAGAAGTAAATGACTCACCTCTCCTCCTGCTGGGCTGCCTGGAGCTTTCCATGTGCTTGGCCTTCTGCCCTTTCTGAAAACCCAAGCGCTAGGATGGGAAGCTCAGCTGGGAGAAGGAAAAGCATCAATCCTTATTTTTCTTTACCTCCTGGTTCTCCATTAATTAGGTCTTAAACTAAGCAGCATCTGAATAGCCAAAATAGATCCCCCTCCCACTGCGTTCAGAGCTTACCCTATGTTATTGGGAGCTTACTGGGAAGACGTAGGGTGCTCGCAATGGCTAGATGGACAGGGTCTTGGAAAGAACAAGATAAGAGAACGGGTAGCGAGGAGGTCTGGGGCGGAGCTCTCCGAATGGGCACAGAGCCTGAGGCTGTTTGTGTCTGTGTCGATGTTCACACCCACAAAATATGCTGTCCACAGCAAAGGAACACTCAGTAATCAAGTGGTCACGATCTCCCATTCTGTGTTAGGTAGTTTCTCTTCCCAACCACTTTGATGTTTGTTCCCTGGCCTCATGAACAAGGTGGTCATGGTTTCAGGGATGGAGGTTAGCAGTGCTACAGCCAGACTGACTTTGGTCGAAGAAGTCTATGCCATAGGACCCATGCATGAGCGTCCAACCCACCAACTGCAGAGAACATAGCTGAGCATTAGGCATGGCTTCGCTTGCAGGGACAGTATTCAGCCGCCTGGTCTGATCAGGTAGGGGGTAGCGATTTATCCTCACTGAAACCGACAGCAATATGTACATGGATCTGATGTCCCCGCCCACAATGTTTCTGACAACATCGCCACCCGTAGACCTAAAAATGCCTTATTCTCCATCGTGGAATCCCACACAGCATTGCTTCTGACCACGAAGCTCATTTTCTTTTTTTTTTTTTTTTTTTATTTTATTTTTGGGACAGAGAGAGACAGAGCATGAACGGGGGAGGGGCAGAGAGAGAGGGAGACACAGAATCGGAAACAGGCTCCAGGCTCCGAGCCATCAGCCCAGAGCCCGACGCGGGGCTCGAACTCACGGACCGCGAGATCGTGACCTGGCTGAAGTCGGACGCTTAACCGACTGCGCCACCCAGGCGCCCCACGAAGCTCATTTTCTAAAGAAGAGGGACAACGGGCTCATGACCGTGAGTCTCATCATGAACTTGGTGAGGCAGCAGCAGGCAGTCTCACAGATAGAATGGGGGAATGACATATTAAAGACTCAGTTACGGTAGCTGCTAGATGGCAATATTTGCCAGGGCAAGCTGCTATGCCACAAGTAATTCGTTCAGAACTACCAATTCACGCCGGATGCCGTTTTCCCATAGCCGAACTACTTGGGCGTAAAAACCCAAGAGGAGAAGGTGCCCCTTTTACCGTTAATGCTAATGACCCATTGGCAAAAATTTTACTCCCATTCCTGCAGATTTGGGCTCTGCTGGCTTGGAGGTCTTAATTCCCAGGGAAGGAATATTTCTACCAGGGGACACAACAATGGGTCTTGAACTGGCACTCAAGACTCACAGCAGGTAGGTTGGTGTGCTTGCCACGTGAACTAATGTGACCAGTGGTAAAAGTTGGTGGAAGATCACAGAAACCCACTATATTCAGATCTGCGACAGGTTTAGACCTTCCAGGAGTGATGGTCAGGGCCACGCAGTCAGGTAAAGAACTGAGCTGCTGGAGGAGGCAAAAGGGAACACGAACGTAGCAGTAGAATAAGGAAGCTCCGACTCTATGCCCTTACAGCCCGTTGCAGAAATGGGGAACTTTGCAACCATGCAGGCCGTGTTCCATAACCCCAATTCCTTCCTAGCATCTGGAGAAAGTCTAGGTGGTTTTTGTCTGGCTGGTGAAAACTAGGCGCAAGGAACGCCGGGAGAGAGAACGTCTTGGTTTTCCGGGTCTCTCACGAAAGTAGCGCTGGTCAATCCGGAGTTGAACGCCAAGGCCTTTCTCAGAGACACAGGTCTCCGGCTCGAGGAGATCCCAGAGTGCTCGCCACAAGGAAACTGTCCGTGCCTCAGCAGCAGGCTTTGAAAAATACTCAGTTCTTTTTAGACACGAGCAGACCCTTGCCTTATCCTTATTCTAAGTCCAAAACCAAAACTTTAATCTTTCGGTGGGGAGTTGCGGGGTGAGAATAAAATATACCACTACTGACCGAAGGGAAGGGGAAGAAAGGCGAGTTGAAATGTGGTCACTGTAAAGATAAAGCTGGGGTGTAAGGCCCACAGCTACCTTCCCAGGAAGTCCTAACAATGCAGACAATGGCCTAATTGTTGCCCCCCCCGCCCCCGCCCCCAAGAAACTTTGCAGTCCCCAACCTGGGAGCCACTCACTGTCTTTTTCTATTTCTTTCCTTGAAACACCCTTTATTGGAAATACTGCCAGATCTCCAGGGGAAAAACAAAAGGCTGGCAGTGAAATGAAACACCTAATTAACGGAGAGCTCCTCCACTGCTGCCAGAGAACTTTCTGCGGGAGCCCTGGCTCCTTGAAGAGAGGGCTTGGGGGAGGGGGACCGACTAGTACCTATTACTGCGCGCACCAAGCTGGCCGAAGGCAGCACACGGTAGCGTTAAGGCAGGTTCACTTTGGAGTCGGATGGCCTGGGCTCAAATCCTACGTTTACCACTTACTGGGACAAGCGGTATAACCTCCTTGGGCCTATAATGAGGGTAATTGTCATTCTTCCGGTGATTATGGAAGTAAGGTGAGTTCCTCGAAGCACTTGGAAAAGACCAGTGGCCACGTTAGTTGTTATGGTTGTCTTTTTAAGTGTATTTATTTTGTGGGGCGCCTGGGTGGCTGAGTCAGTTAAGCTTCGGACTCCTGGCTTTGGCTCAGGTCATGATCTCATGGTTCAAGAGTTCAAGCCCCGAGGCGGGCTCCGCACTGATAGTATAGAGCCTGCTTGGGATTCTCTGTCTCTTTCTCTCCCTCTCTTTCTGCCCCCCGCCCCAAATAAATAAATAAACGTTTTTTAAGAAGCTTTTCATTTATTTGTTTTGAAAGAGAGAGCGTGCGTGCAAGCATGAGCAGGGAGGGGCAGAGAGAGACTTCCGAGCAGGTTCCTCGAGGTTAGCACAGAGCACAGAGCCCAACGTGGGGCTCAGTCTCAGGAACCGAACCATGAGATGACGGCCGGAGCCGAAATCAAGAGTTGACCGCCTTAACCGACTCAGCCGCCGGGCACCCCGCATTAGCTGTGGTTGTAAAGTGTTAGGGAAGTCCGCTGTTGCCTGAACTTACGCAGCTGTTAGGCAATAGAGCCAGTACCCGATCCAGAACTGCCCAGCTGTAGAGCCTGAGATATTTGCAGAATACCATGCCAGCCCCTCCCCTACGAGAGGGCTTTCCCATCATTGTGGCCCTTTGCAGCCTTGATCCACTGAGCCCCCAGGGTCCCCTGCCTCTGTGCTGGTGGATGCAGCCGTGGGGACCACGGGAAGGGTCCAGGGACAAGCAGACCCTTGCAGCCGGGTTCTGGGCTATTACAGTCAGGAGAGAAGATTTCAGAGGCGTGGGCATGAGAAAGAGGGGCAGGGAGCGAAAAGGGGCAGCTCCACACGCATTAGCTTGTGTGTGCACTCAGCCCTGACTTAAAGGGATCACACAGCAGGATGAATGGAGGCTCACTTGGGGCAGCGAGTTTCCAACGGGTCGCCTTGAACTCTCACCCCAGTGACTTTTTCAACTTTAATTTATCATTTTTCAAACCAAGATAAGGCCTCGGCCAGCCGCCTACTTCTTTCTTCAGGCCCCCACCGCACCTGCCCCCTGCAGAGAAACCACAAAGCAAAGCATCTGGCAAAACGCTCCAAACATAGTAGGTGTTCAACATCGTCGGACAGCTCCAGGACCAGCGGGGCCGCTCCCTATGGCTCCCACTGGATTTATCGAATTTCCAAAAGCAGCTGCCCCCAGGAGGTTTGCAAAGAATGCCCTGTACACCCCTGTCCCTTCCTTCCTCTCCCTACCCCCGGGGAAGTCCACTCTGCAGCCAAGACGGCCGGGACCGCGGGCTCCAGCTCCGTGTCTTCGCTCGAGCGCGGGTATGTGAGTGTCTTCCCCCTGGGAAGCGGCATGGGAAGTCCTACCCCTAAACCTCCAGCCCCAAATTGAAACAAGCTGGTTGCAATTGTGAGCGAGCCCAGCGCACACCAGCTGGGCCCTGCTTGCAGCCTCAGAAAATGCTGTTTCATGTTCAGATGCAAATGACTATTTCCTCTCTCGAGCGTGCCCGGACTGTGTTCCAATCTGAACAGGGAGCAGAGGGGAACAGAGGCTCTGGGAGAACACTTGGCCAGGGCTGTCAGGATGAATTATGTTGCCCTGAAGCTTTCCCCAAATTCGGAGAGCGGTCAGTGCTCCACGGAAGGTGCAGAGAACAGGAGAAGGGTGATGTTCCCAGAGTCTGCTCCCCACCCCCCCCCCCCCACAGCTGCTCCTGACCCTGTCCCACTGCCAACCCCTGAGGAGGGACGACACCTGTGGCCCCTGAGCACTGCCACAGCCTCTGGACTGGTCCTTCTGCCCAACAGCATGGCCTCTCCAGTCTATCCAAAAGCCTGCTGTCAGTGATTTGATCATTCATTCATTCATTCATTCAAATACCCATTATTGGACACACTCTGTTGCAGGCACAGGGGATACAGCAGGAACCACACAGAGGGGGAAAGAACCTGTCCTCAGAGGCTTAAGTTCTCATAATCTTTCTCCTACAGAGCTCCGCCATGCTCAAAAGTACTCAACGGCTCCCTCTGGCCACATGGATAAAAAAAAAACCCTGTAGTCTCCTTAACGCAGACTAGGCTCTCCAGGCTCAGACCCAACCAGATGATCCAGTCTTACATTTCATTCTTGAGGGGGAAAGAACCTGCCCTCAGAGGCACAGGTCCAGCTCCAACACCATCTCCTTGAAGCCCTCCAGGATTCTCCACAGGGATGAACCCCTCCTCCCTTTCTGTTCTCGCAGCGACATCCCAGCCGTTTACAGCGAGAGGAAATAACAGTTATCCAACATGCAAACTGACCCTTTAACAGTCCCACTCTCCTCGGGCCTAATTGTATACAGCTAATTAATTCTCACTGTGGTCAGCATGACTCGGGGGCCCTGGACGCGGGCATTTACCTACAATGTATCGAGGGCCTAATATACGCCAAGGTCTGTGCTACACAGGTTCATCTGTTTTCCTCCTCCCATCCTCTATTTCTCAACTCCGAGAGGTGAAGCGATTTACCCAATGTCACACAGCTGGGAGGTCAATACTGGGGGTGCCTGTGCAAAGTTACAGGAAAAACACG